GAAGGAAGGAAGGAAGGAAGGAAGGAAGGAAGGAAGGAAGGAAGGAAAGGAAGGAGGGAGGGAAGAAGGGAAGAAAGAAGGATAGGAGGGAGGGAAAAAAGGTAGGAAGGAGAGGAAATGAGGAAGGAAGGAAGGAAGGAAGGAAGGTTGGTTCACTGAGCACTTTTGAAAGTGGCATTTCCAAATCATTCTATCATGTACCTTTACTTCCTTCTCCTTTAATTAGACATCTTTGGTTATGTGCCCTAGTCATTTTTGACTATTAATGCTGAGGGAGGGAGGGAGGGAGGAAGGAAGGAAGGAAGGACAAAACAGAATAATAATAATAATAATAATAATAATAATAATAATAATAATAATAATAATAATAATAATAATAATAATAACAACAACAACAATAATAATAATAATAATAATAATAATAATAATAATAAAAACAGTGAAAAAGAACACAATGGAAATACATTAATGTAACACATTGAATACATGCTACATATTGATAACTTTGAATGCACCAATGCGGTACATAATATCTAATATCCTGCCCAATACCTCTGGCTGAGTAGAAATGGGGGAAGATTTTTTTTCTCTGTTTATTTTATTATTAACCACAAATATTTATTTAGGACCCACATGCCTAGCTAGTTAACAAAATGCATGCTGCTCTAGGAGCATAGGCGATTCCTTTGTTTTGCTTTTAATCTTAGCCACCTGTCCAGTTCATCGGTCGGATGTCCTCTTCCCTCTTGTCCACAAAAACAGCCATATAATTCGAACTCCTCTGGACACCGGTTAGTCAAGCAGTAGAGCATCTCACCCAACTGTGGAAACTCTTGTTGGAGTTTTCCATTATCGCCCCGTTGTAGAAAGGAGAAACGATCACACGCTGTGGAGAGGAGATACACATTTCACAGTTTTATTCTGCTGAGGACATATTCAGAGGACTACGGAATTCTCTTTTCTGCTGTGTCTCTAATATTCTTCAGGTTTTCTACCCTTTATCTTCCATCCTTCTAGAGAAGATCTGGGCATCAGGAAAATAAGGCTGAATTGGGATAAAGAACCCATTTTCCTGGAACTGTCTATTCCACTAGCAAATGGCAGTTGTTGATATAACTTCTGTGTGCTATTAAAAAAAACAATTAAACCCAAGGTAACTCCTAAATGGTGGCCTAGTAGCAAAGGTGCTCGCCTCCTGCTCAGAAAGTTGAGAGTTCAATCCTGGATTGTGGCAGATGTTTCTCTGTTAGGGCACAAGGAGAAAATATCTGCTATGAACTCCACGTGGTGTCAGGGAGGGCATCCAGCCAGTAAATGCTCAGCTCCATCCAGTCACTGCAATTCTACCCTAAATTAAGGGATTCCAGAGTCACGAAAGGGATTTTTTTTTTTAATATCTCCTAAAGAATTAATACACTGGTGAATCACGTTTTTTCTATTTACATTTTTCTTTAATGTACAACACTACTTTCTCAAAGTATCTTATAGGTCTCCTCTCTTTTCTTCCAGGTAAATTATTGGGTTGATTAAAAGCGTTTCATACCTTCTCTAAAAGATTCTTCAGGAGATGGTGACTCTTCTGGAATCGTTGTAGAAAATGTCACAGGTTCCTCCCCAGCTAACTTGAAGAGATGTCCTGGATTTGGGATTAAAAAGATGCCTTTTTAGTGGACATAAGATCTATTAAAGAAGAAACAAAAACAAAGCAGAATCCTGTAGCGTTCTTGATTTTAAAAAAAAACAAAAAACTCTGTGCCATCCTTCCATGAATTTCACTTTAAATAAGTGTCTTATATATAAAAAGTATTGGTGTGGATGTTAGTGGATGTGGTGGCTTAGTGGCTAAGATGCTGAGCTTGTTGATCAGAAAGGTCGGCAGTTCGGCGGTTCGAATCCCTAGCACCGCGTAACGGAGTGAGCTCCCATTACTTGTCCCAGCTTCTGCCAGCCTAGCAGTTCGAAAGCACGTAAAAAATGCAAGTAGGAAAATAGGGACCCCTTTGGTGGGAAGGTAACAGTGTTCTGTGCGCCTTCAGCATTTAGTCATGCCAGCCACATGACCCATGGAGATGTCTTTGGACAGTGCTGGCTCTTCGGCTTTGTAATGGAGATGAGCACTGTCCCCTAGAGCCGGAAATGACTAGAGCTGCCCCCTAGAGCCGGAAATGCGCGAGGGGAACCTTTACCTTTTACCTTGTATTGGTGCAGAAGAGCCATGGATAAATCCTGCCATGGATAAACAAAGACTAGAATGATAATGATGATTAAAAAAGAGTAGAGGTGCACTTTAAACCTACAAGCACAGATGTGCTTGCATTGCCCTTTTTTCCTAACGAATCCTATGGCAACAGGAATTTTTACTTGCCGCTGTTTGCTGGTCTTGGAAATTCTGAAACTGGCATGAAGTCTGCTTCCGGTGTGCTAATCCCAGGTGAAGGAGTTGTGGTTCTTATGGTAGCCAAATAGCTCTCTGACAATCCTGGGAAAAGATGCAGGTGTCAGCCTTGGAAACCATTTTTTTACTTGGAAGCTTCCAGGCTGCCACATTTAGTGCCTGGGTATTTGAGAGGGGGGATTTCATAGTAGGGTAGAAGATTAGACGCAACAACATTCTTTCTCAGAGAGTCAAGGACATGTTGCCCTGCACCTGGAAGGGAGTGACTGGGAGGATGTCTCCAGTTGGGACGATGATTTGATTGGGCCATGTGATGGACTGATGGGCGCTGGGGATGGATCTTTGATTTCTCTTTTGGGAAGGGAAAACCTGGAACCCTCAGATTTGGGTTTTCCCAGATGTGCCAATGTTAAAATTCTAATAAAATGGAACTGTTGAGGAATTGTTTATCTCGGAGTTTATTGGTTTGGAGTTGGTTAGTTGGAACGATGACAGCAGGATTAACTCCTTTACTTCTTAATAGGATTAGGCTCTATATTAATTTAAGTCAAGTATAAATATGTTTTCTCCCACCCAATCTCCCAAGTCTTGCTATATTGCCTTAACACAGGGGGAAAGATACACTTGGTTGGAAGGAATGTTGGATGTAAGATATATATATACTCTTAGCAAAGTCACTTAAGGCATAAAAGTTTTTGCAAGCCAGATTACTTTCAATTGCACCCTTTTTAAAGGCCAGCATAAAAGGAAGACACATGATGTTTCTCATAACTGTAAATTAAGCAAACACTTTTCACAGCAGGATTGAGGATTTGTTTACCCTGGGAACAAACTGAAAGTACCAACTTACCTCTTAGTTCAGAATTATCAAAAGCAATAGTCGCATCCTTCTGGGTTACAGCTATAAAGCAACATACAGAAGAAAAGTTTGTGTTACCATATCAGATAATGTTTGTGGTTTTCATAATTTCCTTGATCAGGAATATTTTAAAACATGACTCTCTAAGCAATCAAATGCGTTTTCTATTTCAGTGAGCTGCAGTGGTGCAGTGGTTAGAGTGCAGTGCTGCAAGCGACTTCTGCTGACCGCTGGCTGACTGCAGTTTGGCAGTTCAAATCTCACCAGGCTCAAAGTTGACTTTGAGTTACCTACCTCAGAAGGGTAAAATGAGGACCCAGATTGTTGGAGGCAATATGCTGACTCTGTAAACCATTTAGAGAGGGCTGTAAAGTCTAATTATATTCCTTTTTACAGATGATGAAAACTGAAATTCGATGCTTAACTGAATGAGCTGAAGTAAACTTCTATCACTTCCAGAAATGACCAAGAAAACTACAGGAGAGAAAGAAAGGGGAAGGAAGGAAGGAAGGAAGGAAGGAAATCCCCAATGAGCTCTTGCTAAATACAAGAATTTATTATATTTGAATTAGACAAGGTTTGAACCACATTTGTCTCTTAGGCAATGCTGGGACCATCTGGGCGTTGAAAAAAATTGGTGCTTCCTGAAATGGCTTATGGTTCAGCCCATGTTGAAGTATGTTGGAATACATTTTCTACATGTTTTCATAATGAAACATGAAAACCTATACAGTACCCCCACCTCTGAAGATTTCAAGGACTCCACTGCTCTCAGCATCTGAAGAAACTGAAAGAAAAACAGATATATTGGGTATAAAAAAATGTGCATGGATTTATCCTAGTAACAAGCGTCAAATCATCAAATAATTTATAACAAAAATCTGTTCGTTTGAAGGAATCCGTATGAGGAATGAAATCTATCTCAAGATGAAATTTCTTAGAGCAGTGATTTTCAACCTTTCCTTTACCATTTACCTTTAAATACCTTGTGTGGCCATGGACCATCAAGACTTAACTAAAGATTTAAATCATAACTTTTCTTCAAGCCTTTGTTGACCCCCTGTGATGACGTTGGGGGCTGCCCAGGGGTCTGCAAATCAAAGGTGGATAACCACTGTCTTAGAAAAAAAATTCTTTCAGAGCAGATGGTGAAAGATTGGTACTTCTGTGTACTTCTAACATAGACCAAAGGCTGTCACAAGCCTTTCAGGAATCAAGTGAGGAAAAGGTTACTTCGGTATGAATCTCAATCACTAACCAAGGTGCATCAGTTTTTAGCTATGGATTAAAGAGATCTACCTTGAACGGGATTCTTCACCAGCCTTTCCACTTTGTCTCCTGTGTATTCACATATTTGATCGATATGATATGATATCAGGGCATAAATGATTATAAAAGCAAAGGGCAAGAAGTCACATTTGTACATAGTTAGATGCTCCACTTTTTTTTTTCTATCTGCCCAGTTAGATGTTTCACTTTCCCTTTTTCCTGATAAGCAATGATAACAGAATAAGAGAGTTGAAAGGGACCTTGGAGGTCTTCTAGTCAAACTCCCTGCCTAGGCAGGAAACCTTATAGTATTTCAGACAAATAGTTATCCAATCTCTTCTTAAAAACTTCCAGTGTTGGAGCATTCACAACTTCTGGAGGTGTTCTACTGATTTCCTTCATTCTAAGTTGCCTTCTCTCCTTGATTAGTTTCCATCCATTGCTTCTTGTCCTGCCCTCGGGTGCCTTGGAGGATAGTTTGACTCTCTCTTCTTTGTGGCAATCCCTGATGTTTGTGGTAGCCCCTGAGTTTTCATTTAGTTTCCATCCATGGTTTCTTGTCCTGTCTTCAGATGTTTTGGAGACTAGCTTGACTCCCCCTTCTTTGTGGTAACCCCGGAGATATTAAAACACTGCTATCATGCCATCTCTAGTTCTTCTTTTCATTAAACTAGGCATACTCAATTCCTGCAACCATTCCTCATATGTTTTAGCCTCCAGTCCCCTAATCATCATTGTTGCTCTTCTCTGTACTCTTTCTAGAGTCTGATGTAGAGTTTATTTATTTATTTATTTGATTTGTCAATCGCTTACAAGATAATAGGTATAATTATAAACATGAGTAAGAATACAGGAAATAGGTATGAATAAATGGGGACAATAGGACAGCGACAGGAAGCTCGATGGTGCACTTATGCACAGGGGTGGGGATATGACAGGGTTAACTACCGGTTCGGGATTTACGAGGTTTGGTGATTTATGATGTGCTTCCCTGCATGCTGCAAGCAGACGCCTGTAAATCGCTGCCTGTAAATCATCATCAGCATGCTGCGTGCAAAGAAGCAGCCTTTGAAACAGCCCTCTTTTCCTGCTTTTTTTAACTACAACTGTGCCTCGTTTGGCAGCTGAAGTTGAAAAATCAGGAAATAAAGATCAGATAAGAGCCCAGGTGGGCGGGTGAGCAAAAACATCAGCAGACATAGAACCGGTTCTATGTCTGCTGCTCTTCAGAGCTACCGGTTCTACAGAGGTGGACAGAACCGGTAGAAACCCACCCTTGCTTATGCACACCCCTTAGAGACCTCTTAGGAATGGGGTGAGGTCCATCATGGATCATTTGAGGTTAAAGGAGTGGGGGTTTGAGGATGTAACTACAGAGTCAGGTAGTGCATTCCAGACATTGACCACTCTGTTACTGAAGTTGTACTTTCTGCAATCAAGTTTGAAGCGGTTAACATTGAGTTTGTATCTGTTGTGTACTTGTGTGTTGTTGCGGTTGAAGCTGATTCTTCATGCTGGCTGGAGAATTCTGAGAGTTGAACTCCACAAGTCTTAATGTTGCCAAGTTTGGGAACTCTTGATATAGAAGATACTATTAGGCCTGCAAAAGCTATGGTCATTGAGATGTCCTGGTCTAATGAGTGAAGGATTAAGTGTGGAAAAATCTACATTCAAATGCTGTTCAGCCATCTGCATCTCACTGTACCGATATAAAAAAGAAAAAGCTAATCAAAGGATTCATTATCCATCATGTCTTTGGTTATTCTGGAAAACTAAAAATTTCAAGGAATTTCAGTTGCACCAGTCCAGAAGAATGTATTAACTTACATCTTTCATGGTTGTTCAGAGGCAAATCTCTGGAATCTTGAGGAACATCTGTCAAAGAAAAAAAATTAAAACCAGATTCTGTGACAAATCCTACTTTGTAATTACTCCAAGAATCATCACAAGTGGGTTTTTTAAAATAAAGAATTGTCTTTACTTAAGTATTCAGAAAAAATATTTTTTCCTCTGTAAATATTTTTTCCTCTGTAAATTATGACTTTGGATGACATGAAAAATAGATAGAGGAGATTTGTTGGGTAGAGGGGAAAATTCAATATGGCAATGATAATCAATATTTATTTATTAGATTTTTATTCTGCCTTTACTAGTATTTTGATAACTCAAGGCAGTAAACTACTAATACCCCTTTCTTCTGTTTTTCCTACAACAACAACTTTGTGAAGTGGGCTGGACTGAGAAAAAGTGGCTGGTTCAGAGCCACCTAGTCAGCTTTTCATGTCTAAGGCAGGACTAGAACTTACCATCTCCTGGTAATCGCCCCAAAGTCACCAAGCTGGCTTTCATGCCCAAGGCAGGACTAGAACTCACTGTTACCTGGTGTTTGGCTCAAAGTCACCTGGATGACTTTCCTGACTAAGATGGGACTAGAACTCAGACTTTCCTGGCAAATGGCCCAAAGTCAGTCAGCTTTCATGCCTAAATCAGGACTAGAACTCATGGTCTCCTGGATTCTAGGCTAGTATCTTAACCACTATATCAAACTAGCAATGGATGCCCCTGAATTATCATAATACTTTTTTTGGTATTGAAAGTCTTTATTTAAGTAAAGTTACAGGATATACTGTGTTTCCCCAAAACTAAGACCCTGTCATGTATGTATGTATGTATGTATGTATGTATGTATGTATGTATGTATGTATTATATTCAGCTTTGTTTGGGTATTTTCCCATGTCATTATAGTTGTGCTTTTAAAGTTGTAGCAACGTTTTGGCAGAATCTCATCTGCCATCATCAGGCTTCTGTATTGTGTTCGTCTGTGAGTCAGACTTTCCCAGCCGTTTCTGTTTTAAATTTGGTGCTAGCCTACTGCTGTGCCAGAATATATATCCACCCAAAAAGGCACCAGGTCTTATTTTCAGGGGGAAATCATCCACTGACTAATCTTACTTGTGTGCATCACCCCCAGCCTCTTTTTGCTGTCAGAGGCCTTCAGAAACTTCTTGTTCTGTGGCTGGCAAGGCTTTCCTGAAGGCCTCTGCAATGGATAACAGAGCTCTGGATCAATTTGGAGCTCTGTTATCAGCTACAGAGTCCTTCAGGAAAGCCTTGCCAGCCTTGCCGGCTGCAGAAGAAATGGGCCAGCAAGGCAGGTGTTGAAAGAAATGGGCCAGCAAGGCCCGGCTACAACTGTCCAAAAATGAAGTGGGCGGGATCTTAACTGGGGCTTATTTTGGCAGTAGGGCTTATATTGGGCACAACATGTGTAAAAATCAAGCTAGGACTTACTTTCTGGTCATATTTTCAGGGAAGCAGGGTATTACCAAGTTCATATTTTCATGCAAATGCAATCATCTGAACTTTTACAAATATCAAAAATGTACCTCCTCCTTCCCCTTCCTTTCTTCCTCTCTGGTAATCGGTATTACTGTTGCTTTCCAATTCTGCAGTAACTATTCAGAATAAAAGGCTATCAGTACAGGAATGTAGACTTGGTCACAAAACAACCCATCGTTCTGCTTGTCCCAAATAACGGTTCAAATGAATTGGTTTTATTAAACAACTTATAAATAAGTCAGATAAAATAATAATAATTGTAGTACTGATGGACTTACGCTCAGCTCCCGGAATCATTACAGGTGTGCCAGTGGTGGGCTGGGGAGTAACTATTAGATAGGTAATAAAACAAAATGTCCTTGTGAGATTGTGTGAGCTAAACACACCTTAATGACATTTTAATGAAAATGTCAGCCCTGATAATTATAGCTTTTGCCCAGATAGAAGCATCTGACTTTCCAATATAATCAGATTAGCCACCTACAGAAATATTTCAAAACTTTGACCTCACTACTCTTTCTGCCTGAATCCTCACCAACTATAATCCCATTTTTTTAAAAAAATTCTCCAGGCAACGAGCTAGTTTTGTTCTCATACTAGATGAAAAGCTGTATGGTGTATGAATATTTACAGCGTATTTTGACTAAACTCACGCCATCATTTTTAGCAAGGTATCAGAAGCCCAAAAGGAACTGAATAAAATGATTTGAGAGAATAAATGATCTGAACGTTCTGAAACTTCATGTGATGTGTCAGTTCAAAAAAACAATTGTCTTCCTAGTTTGTAACATGTTGCATTAACAAATGCTGGCTGTACTTGATCAATCCCTTTCATGCCTTAGATAAGACTAGAACTCACGGTCTCTTGGTGATTGACCCAAAGTCGTCTAGTTGGCTTCCAGGCATACGAGGAACTAGAACTCACAGCCTCCTGGTGACTGGCCTAAAGTCAGCCAGCTGGCTTTCAGGCCTAAGGCGGAACTAGAACTCACAGTCTTCTGATGACTGACCTAAAGTCAACCAGCTGGCTTTCATGCCTAAGGTGGGACTAGAATTTACAGTCTACTGGTTTCTAGGCCAGCACCTTCACCACTTTCCTAAACTGGGTCTCAATATATCCCCCTGTGAATTCATGTCACCTTGTGATCTAAGAATTTTTCACATGTATTATTAATAACCCGCATGCAGTATTCTCCACACTATACCTATGCATTTGACTTCTCTGTATATTTATGTGTTTCTGTAAAATATGCAAAGGAGTTGACAATCAGGTTTGGGGGAAAAAAGCAATAAAACAACTTTAAAACATCTATGTAAATTGTTGCCATTAAGGTGAATAGGGAATGAAAAAGAAATATATTGAAATCTATCTGCCATTAATGCATAATTCCTCATTTCTTGGAAAATAAAGAACTTTGTATCAGTCCCTGTTAGGTTTTATTCTGTTCTTTTTGATTAATTTTGAGTCAAAATGTTAAGCTGCAGGGATCATCTCTCCATTCAAAATAGAATTTTGTATCTGTTCATAAGGTCTTGGTTGTCTCGCCCACTTGGCAGCCAAAACTTTGTAAACCTGATCTGCATTTATTCCAACTCTTCATCCTGAATTTTAGGAGCTTCATTGCTTCTACAAAAGAGGACATCAGGACACCAAGTCTTTTGAAAAAGGAATTTTGGAAGAAATGTCCATCTGGTTTCAGTGGGGAGAAAGACATTGGAAACATCGAGGCTGATTGGAAAGATGGTTTATTGATGGACAGGACCACATGGGTTTTAGGTCCTGGGCAGCTGAACACATGAAGTGGAGAGATTTGGGCTTTGCCCTTGAGCTTCCTGTTCCTGTGCAAGAAGTGTATTCTATTGGTTGTCAGACTCCCAGGGGACTATGCAGGGGTCATAGCTGAAATTGTCTGAGATACATTTGGTTGAATCTTGCTGGGTGATGTAATGTCCCCAGGTGATTTCACAATGCCGTGAGCCCTACTGCTAGATGGGTAGAGGGCTAATCCTATTATGTCCTGAGGGTCATGTCTTAATCCCATCACCCTGGAGCTGAAGTTCTAATTGTCTTGTAGATGGCCCAGTCTTAATGTGCAACAAATATCTGCTGGTGGAAGGGAGCTGCAGGGAGCTGTTCTTTGTCTTTAAAAACATGTTTCTCCTTTTCTCATCCCGAGAAATATTCTGCCTTTTTAATATTTCCTAGAATATTGCATTCTTCTAGGAGAGGGGTGGGTGCTCACTTTCTACAGGAACGATATACAATCTACGTGCATTTTCTTAATTGATAGTATTATAGATCCCTTTTGTTTTCCTGACTAAACAATCTCTTCACTTGGAGAAAAAAAGCATCCAGAAAGAGAAATATGAAACAAGGAGAGGAGAAGGACAGGCACCAACCATCTGCCAGAATCCTATCTGTTAACTGAGTTTCTTTGGGCCTCAGGTGTTGAAGCTCTGCAGAAAAAAAATTAAAAGAGCAGTATTCTTTAAGTTTGGGGTTTTGTTTGCTTTTTTCTGCAGCCCAGAAATCAATACTGCTCTGCTAAAATAGACTTGGCAAAGAGACACATTATTCTTTCTTTAAAAAAAAAAAAGCAGGCCTTCAAAATTCTTAACCATATCAGCCATTCTCTAAACATCTAAGGCAAGGGTCTTCAAACTTGCCAAGATTAAGACTTGTGGATTTATAACTCCCAGAATTCCTAAGCTAACATGACTGGAAGGGGAATTCTGGGAGTTAAAGTCCCCAAGTCTTAAAGCTGTCAAGTTTGAAGACCCCTAATCTAAGGGATGCAAACCCGTGTATTGACAAGTAAACTATTTTTCAGGAAAGTTATCAATGCCAATGCCACTTGATGGGATCCAAGAAGAACACATTTCCATCATGGTGGCCAACTAATCTTTTTAAAAAGACTGAAGACTTCAAGGGCACTAGGCCTGCTGAGAGCGGTTTCAAGAGTTTTATGGAGTGATGGTGCACAACTGCCAATTGCTTTGTTTTTGTGGGTTTTACCAGATTTTAAATTTGTCCCAGGATCCCCCAGTTTCATTTTGAATCAAGTGGTCCTATAAATTGGAGAAAAAAATCCAAATAGGTTTATTAAATTAATATTCTGTAGATAATGAACCATACCTGAAGCGGGAACTGTGGTGTGGATTTTCACACTAGATGTTTCTGAAAAGAGAGGGAACATATGTTATATAAATGCATCATATAACTGGGCATATAATATCACAGGAAGTTATTGCATGTATATAGAGCATGTGTAACATATTGTGATTACAACACATATCACATTCTTTTCCTACATGCTCTATTTCCTGATCCATGCCTTAAAAGGCCTAGCAGGTTCTCCCTTCTTCTGGGCTGGCAAGTTGCAATGAAAAAAAAAAGTGGCTGAGATTTTTAGCTTAGAATTTAATTTATCCAGATCTTTGGCTTGCTAACTTTTGAGGGATATGCAAACTTTTAGGGCAAGTTGACAAGAAAAATTTGGTGCCAGTTCAAAAGTCCATCATATCCTACCTCTATTTGATGATAGGTCTTAAATAGCCAATTCTATAGAGGGAAAGGTGTTATCAGCTAAAAAGATATTCCTTTGGTCTTTTTAGCTCCCAGAAAAAGGGAGTGTGGCAAAACAAGGCATTCTTGAAATGCCTAGATATCAACTCAGCAGCCTAAAGTTGTCAGAGCATAAGAAAGTTATTGGAGAGCATGATGGATGATTCTTGGAGACTGTCCTATGGGAGAAGTCACATCCAGGGGGTGGGGGAAAGACCAGGGTCAAGGGGGAAATGTATGATGTGATTTAGTACTGGCTGCACCCAGCCACGCACCAACATGGCAATTTCTATTAAACCAATTTATTTTTTCTGAGATGCGGCTAGAGACTTTTGCTTTGGATGAGGGGGATTTGTGGGGGCCCTGATAGGTGTTTCCATATAGAAAAATGGGGAAGGTCATGTCCACCATCTTGAGAACTTCTCCTCCTCCCTCCCCCAGATGACCTTCGTCGCTAGGAATGGTTTCAATTGTTTGAATATTTGCCATTTGCTTCCAAAAATATATATGTAAGCCCTCAACTTACAACTAAACCCAAAATTTCTGTTGCTAAGTGAGACAATTAAGTAGAGTTTTGCTTCCATTTTACCATTTTCCTTGCCATACTTGTTAAGTGAATCACTGCCATTGTTCAGTTAGTAACTCGGTTGTTAAGTAAAACTGGCTTCCCCGTTGATTTGGCTTGTCAGAAGGTCACAAAAGGAGATCACATGACCCCAGGACATTGCAACCATCATAAATATGAGTCAGTTGCTGAATTTTGTTCACATGACCGTGGGGAATCCCGCAATTGGTCATAAGTGTGAAAAACAGACATGTGTCCCTTTTTATTACTTCAAACGGTCACTAAATGAACTGTTGTAAGTTGAGGACTACCTATAAAACCCTAACATAAAAGTCAATAAACCGCCATCTCCCTAGTGAGAACAATCAAACCAACCATGGGATAGGCCCTAAATCACTCTGGAATCCCCAAACCATGTTTTCAGGGCCTCTTGAAGTAGTATCAAAGTGGGGTCAATCTTATTTCTGCAGGGATAATTTTCCATGTCATAGATAAATAAAACGAATAAATTATTTACACCTGAAATGATCAATGTTGGATATTTAAGGAATGGTCCATCAAGGAGCAAAGAGAAATGTCATTATGCCATGGAAGGAAGGGGTGGTATGGGGCCTATGCTGGACATTAATCAGCCAAATTGTTTACTACTTTGGGAACCAAAATTTATTATAACCAAGCACCATCTATTATATAAAGAGTGTCAAAATCTCTCCTTAACAGGGATGGGATTCCAAAATCCCAGCAACCGGTTCGCTGCCCAGTTGCTGGATGGGAGTGGCCATGGTGGTGCGGCCTACCGGAACAGTAGGCCAGCCGGTCGGTCGATTCAAATACTGGTTCAGTGAACCAGATGCAAATTTAACATCCGGTTCATCTGAACCGGTCCGAATCGGTAGAATCCCACCCCTGCTCCTTAGGCAAGGGTTTCCCAATCTTGACAAATTTAAGATGTGTGGACTTCAACTCCCAGAATTCTCCAGTCAACGTGGCTGGGGAATTCTGGGAGTTGAAGTCCACACCTCTTGAAGTCGCCAAGATTGGCAAACCCTTCCTTAGGATAACTCTTGCATGAGGTAAAATCAGGCGACATTAATTTGTTTCAACCCGTGGCACCTTCAAAGGAATAAGATGAATTTACCGAGCAAGGAAATGAAGGATCTCAACGGGAAGGAAGAACTGAGAGATCATTTCCCACAATTTTCTCACCTGTCACCAGAGAGGAGCAGAGAGTAGCATCAAAATTATTCAAGGAAGAGTTAACGGGAGAATGCAAGAAACATTCAATAGCTTCTTTGTCACAGTTGCAGAGCAGATGCTCACAAGAATCCTCAGATCCTGTGAGGGAAAAGAAGAAAAAAACAGCATGTTAAAAAAAAAAGAAAGAGAAAAGCCCGTTTACAAAGAGATGGTTTTTTGCTATAATCTCCTGACTCTCTGTAAGGTTTTGACCCAGAGGGAAACATTTTATATCCTGGACCCAGACACAGTTCATCACCGCAGGAGGAAAGCAAGATTGAGTTCACCTCACAGCAAGAAGTCATTTGAACACAATAGAAAATTCATCTTTTTGTTAAAATGCTTTTGTTTCCCCCAAGAATTAAACTGTTGGGAAGAACATTCATTCTAGAATGGCACGAATAAAATTCAGCAGCTTCTCTGAAAATACAATCTGCCATGCTGGTTAAATTATTGGGATAAGCAATAACAGAATAACAGAGTTGGAAGGTACCTTGGAGGTCTTCTAGTCCAACCCCGTGTTCATGCAGGATGCCATTCGAGACAAATTGTTGTCCAATCTCTCCTTATAAAGCTCCAGTGATGGACAACTCACAGCTTCCAAAAGCAAGCTATACTTCTATTAATTGTTCTGTCAGGAAATGACTCCTTAGTTCTGGGTTGGTCTTATTATTTCTAGGTTGGGATAAGCAACATGATTTTGCAGTAGAGTCAGAAATGGGGGATGTCAACAGTAAGAGGAAGAGAAAAGACCAATGTGAGATGATAATTTGTATCCTGATTTTATCTCACATGTTAAAGTTTGTAAAGTTAGGGATGGCGCAAACATTGTCATCAGTGGTGGGTTCAGACAAAAATTACTACCAGTTGTGTGGCCGTGGCTTGGTGGGCATGGCAGGGGAAGGATACTGCAAAATCTCTACCCCCTCTCCACTCCTGGGGGAAGGTTACTGCAAAATCCCATTCCTTCCTCTCCCTACTAACCTGCTTTCCAGCTCCATTCTCCTGTGCAGGGCAAACAAAGAAGACCCAACCAATCAGTTGGGACTTGGGAGGCAGAGAATAGATGGGGGCGGGGCCAGTCAGAGGCGGTATTTGCCGGTTCTCTGACCTACTCAAAATTTCCATTATTGGTTCTCCAGAACTGGTCAGAACCTGCTGAATACCACCTCTGATTGTCATCCTTTCACAGTGCGTGACTCTTGAACTAAACTCTTAGTTTTAATTTTAAGAAATGAGACTTTGGGACTTAAAGCTTATCCAATTTTTAAAGTTTCCAAATGTTTGGGATCTGGGCAACATGATAAAGTTGAGATGGCATCAAAGAAATACAGGATATGCATAGGAGGATATGCTGTGAGGCATATAATTGGTTTTCTGCATGAGCTGCTGTGTGTTTTCCTGGAGATTAATAAAAAGACTTCTGAAGTCCTTCCTCACAACAAAACTATCCACTATCAAAAAAAAAAAAACCCACAAGGATGTAATTGAAGCTCTCGACACACATCAAAAAAAGGTATTGCTTCAGTCACATCATCATGCGTGCCGATTTTGTTGAGCCCTCCTTTTCAGAACAATAAGTATTTGAGTTACAATCAGAGGTGGTATTCCGCAGGTTCTGACCAGTTCTGGAGAACCAGTAGCGGAAATTTTGAGTAGTTTGGAGAACCGGCAAATACCACTTCTGACTGGCCCGCCCCCATCTATTCTCTGCCTCCAGAGTCCCATTTGATCAGCTGGGTCTTCTTTGGTTGCCCTGCACAGGGGAACGGAGCTGGAAAGCAGGTTAGTGGGGTGGGGAGGGAATGGGGATTTTGCAGTAACTTTCCCCTGCCATGTCCACCAAGCCACGCCCACAGAACCTGTAGTAAAAGATTTTGAATCCCACCACTGATTACAATCAGGTGTATCCTCAGCAAGAAGTCAAAATAGCTCAAGAGGGCAGCTTCAGCTGCACCATGTAAGCTCGGCCCTTTGCAATCTGCAAGCATAATGTACATTTAAAAGGGGGTGAGGCTTTAATTGGGCAGTGGCCATCTTGACTTCTTTGACCCTTCCCCCTTGTAGATGCCCCTGATTGCAATATTCTTTGTATAGGATTGTGCAACAATATTTTTGCTACAGGTAGTCCTGGACCTATGACAACAATTGAGACCAGCATTTTCATTGCTAAACAAGGTGGTTGTTAAATGAGTTGGGCCCAATCGATCAATCAATCAGAATAGAGCTGGAAGGGACCTTGGAGGTCACCTAGTCCAACCCCTTGCTCAAGCAGGAGACCCTATACCCATTTCAGACAAGTGACTGTCTAGTCTCTTCTTTAAAAAAAAAAAAAAAACTCCAGTGATGAAGCACCTTCTGATGGCAAGCTGTCCCACTGGTTAATTTTACAATATTTTTTCTTTGCCATGGTTATTAAGTGAATCACTTCAGTTGTTAAGTGAATCACACAGCTATTAAGCAAATCCATCTTTCCCTTTTGACTTTCCTTGTTGGAAGCTGGCTCTGGAAGGACACAAAATGGTGATCATGTGACCTTAAGATGCTGCAACCAAACATGTCAAATGACCAGCACCCAAATTTTGATCCTGTGAAGATGGGAGGCTGTGATAGTTATAAGTTCTAGAACTGATTATAAATCATTTTTTTTCAGTGTTGTTGTAACTTGAAATGGTCACTAAATGAATGGTTGTAAATCAAGGGTTACCTGAACTTGTTTTTACAGCACATGACTGTATTAATAACAGAATGTGAGTCTGTGTGTTGACCCAGGGTGGGATATAAAAGCAACAAAGTCACAAAAACAGGTGAAGTCCCTTTAATTCCTTCTTGGCTTCAAAGGTCCAATTATCATTGACTGGAGAAAAAACTCCCCCACAAACAGTTGTGAAAAGGAAGAACTTCTGTTCAAACTCAAAATACATATAAATTATAAATAGGAAAAAAAAACCAAACCACACTGAAGCAATTAATGAGACAAGGCAGGATAAGGGCTTGAAGATGTCTACAGATATCGAAATACACACACTGGGAAGGATGCCAGAACTCAGATAAGAACTGACAGACTAGAAATATTTTCACGCTTTGCTTCCAGCACTGGCCCATGTGCAATTTGTCCTTTAAAACAGTCCTCACAGCTGCAGCCCATGAAGGAGATCAAGGCCCTTTCCTCCCCCATAGACCACACCATTCATGTTTCTCCCTTATCTGTTCCTCTCTGCATGCCCTAGGGTGAAGAGGGGATGAGCTTGGGCCTTCCTCTGAATGCCCAGCTGGCCTGTGCCTGTCCCCAGTTTCCTTCACAACCTCTGGAGCCACACTCCCACTCCCTGTCAGCAGTTCCTCCTCTCTCTCGGAGTCAGATTCTAACAGGAGCATGACAGTCTGGGTAATTCCTGAACCACTTTATACAGCTATACAGGTTGACTTATGACCACAATCGAGCTCAACCTTTTTGTTGCTAAGCGAGTCAGTTGTTAAGTTAACTTTGCCCCATTTTATGATCTTTGTCACAGTTGTTGAGTGAATTACAGCAGTTGTTACATTAATAACATGTCAGCTTCTCCATTGATTTTGCTCGACAGAAGGACCCAAAAGCTGATCACATGACCCCAGGACTTTGCAGCCATCATAAATACATACCAGTTGCCAAGCATCCAAATTTTTATCATGTGACTATGATGATGCTGCAATGGTCGTAAGTGTGTAAAAAACGGTCATAAGACACTTTTTTCAGAACTTTGAAAAAAGTGTCTTATGACCGTTTTTTTCACACTTACGACCATAAGTGTGAACTTTGAACAGTCACTAAATGAACGGTTGTAAGCAGTCGTGGGATTCAAAAAAATTAACAACTGGTTCTCTGTACTAATGAGTTCTTCCAACAACCAGTTCACCAAAGTGCTTGGAAAGTTAACAACCAGTTCTCCTGAACTGATGCGAACTGGCTGAATCCCACTACTGGTTGTAAGCCTACTCAGCTACAAGTCAGGAGACGACTTCTTTCACTAGCAAGAGAAAACAGGAGACTAAAAATTTGTTTTGTACTGCTTAACTACTTCAACCTCACCACAAGTGATGTTTTTGGTTAGACAACTGACGTTCATGGTGATTTTGGTAGGATCCCAGGTGCATTCTTCTTCCGTTGCCTCTTCATAGCATTTCCGATGTTGAAAACAGCAGCTGATTCCAGAAGAGAAGGAGAGAAACAAAATATCATTAGGAGGGATAGTTTGTGAACCTACTGGCAGCTTCAAAGTTCGGCCTTGGCTGACTCAATCGCTTTAAGCATTAATTTAAGCAATTAATTCACCGAGCGTTTCTGAACAACCACAAAACTAAAAAAAAAAAAATGGAAAGACTTATCAGGAATCAAACTGGTCTGGTTTCCATCTCACGACTGATTGATTCAAGGATTAGCTTTGTTTTTTCAAACTTAGCTTCTCCTTGGAATACATAAGGTATCTGTCAGGATTTCCGGCAGTTGCCCTAATTAAATCATGAACCTCAAGCCAAGCTTCAAAAATGTCAAAGAATTTATTAGGAGCGAATATATTGGCATGGTCTGTACGAAGCCAATTTAGAGACACGTAATTCACTACCACCTTTTATCCTGTTTTCCTCCCACCCCTCTGAATGTTTCGTAATTCATATTCTCCAACAAAACATGTTCACAGCTGAGAGTCATCAATCACGTTCTCCAATTAGGGGTTTTCTCAGCAGAAATTCCGGTGGCTTAGTTACAATCTTTGCAAGATAAGAATGGAATGCACTTTTGGTTTTAAACTGCCTCCGGTGCAGGGCAACAAATGAAGACCTAGCCAATTAGCTGGGACTTGTGAGACAGAGAATAGATGCGGGAGGCAGGGTTAGTTAAAGGTGGTATTTTCCGGTTCTCCAAACTACTCAAAATTTCTGTTACCGGTTCTCCAGAACTGGTCAGAACCTGCTGAATACCCACCTCTGCCTCCTCCTCAGTTGAGAGAGGGGTGTTGATTTTGACATAGATGGCCTCTTCACTCCTCTTTCAGGCTTTTTTGAAGATAACAAAGTCTACATTTTGGACAGAGAGGACTGCTGGTTTGAAAGAGGGGTCAAAGAGGCCATCTATGTTAAAATTGAACCCCCCTGTGTCAACAGAGGGTGGGGGATATGACACCACCCATCTCCTATTTACAATGCAGTCCTTTCTGCAGTCCCAAGAAGGCTCCACATCCACCTGCATTGTGATTTGGATGACTCTGAGGATACAGATAAGGGGCCATAAGGACTCTTGGAGAACTAATGACAGACCTTCAGAGTGCTAACAACCAGGTGACTGAGAAGAATATAAATCCTTCCATTCCCCACCTGTTAGTAAGAACTTCAAAAAGTTTCTTGGATGAGAAGAGAAACATTTTCAAAAAAAAAAAAAAACCTAAGAAAATCCAGTTGTCTTTTGGAAAAAGTACATTGGGACAACCCTGACCTTGGTGATTGAGAATCTCTACAGACCCAAGTAGGGTGATAGGAAGAAGTCAACACCTCTAAGGTCCAAAGCTCACCCATCTACTTCATCCACGGGGAAGCCCTCCGTCTCAAATCGGCAGGCGCAGCCATAGTCTTCAAAGTCTCTTGGGCAAATGCCAGTCACACACTTCATTCTGCTCACAAAGTTGAGCAACGGAGGAAAGCTGGTGAATACGGACTGAAGCCAAGTGAAGTGAGAGCCCAAACAATCTGCAAAGATGGGAAGAAGCGAATCAATTGATCAATCTGACATCCAAGCAAAGTGAAGGATAAGTTTGACATCTGCGACAGGTGAGCTGGTTGTCACCTTTAAAGCCCTTCATGGCTTGGGACCATGATTTTTTATTTATTTATTTAATTAATTTTTTTCATATTTTGTTCTATTGTACTTTATTAATGTATTTGATTCTTTTTGTTAGTTTTTATTGTTTTTTTTAATACATGATTTTACATTCTGTATGCTGCCTCGAGTTGCCCTGGGTGAATAGGCGGCAATATAAATTCAATAAATAAATAAATAAAATAAAATTTCAGGTTTGGCTCATCCTTCACCTAAAAAGACAAAAAAATAGAGTGGGACTATCCTTTAAGGGCTGTCTTGCAAATCTCTTAATTTCCAAAAAAGCAAAACAAGGAGGAATTGGTGAGTAGAAGTGGGAAATGCAAGTTTAGGTAAATCTTGTAGGCCTTATTGCGAAGGTCTTTGGGCAACCTAAGGGCTAGATGGACAATCTCTGCTCATAGTCACCCCTGCCCTAGTTACCTCTGGTTTTGACTACTGCAATATGCTCTACATGGGGTTGCCCTTGAAAAGTATCCAAATGTGTTCAAAATGCCCACAAGTGGTTTTGTATGATTCACCTCTCTTGAGAAAGCTGCATTGATTGTTGATTTGCTTCCAGGTCCAATTCAAGCTGCTAATGGTTACCTTTAAAGTCTTACACTGCCAGGGGTCAAACTATTTGAAGGGCCGTGTTTTTTTTTTTTTTCATCTATCCAACCTATCAGAGCAGGAAGGCAGGGGATGTGACAGGACCCCTCTCTTAAAGAGGTCCATCTGGTGGAACCAAGAAGAACAATGGCCTTCTCTGTAGCAGCTCCCAACCTGTGGAACATCAACCCTATGGAAGTTTGGCTTCACTTTGTCGCTCCTTCAAAAGGCCTCAGAGACGTGGTTTTGCAGGCAGGCCTAAGGACCTCGGGGTGATATGGCGCCTATCAGTGGTTAGTTTGATTATTGTCCAGGGGGAAGGGCAGGGCAGGAACTATTTGCTTTTGTATTGGGATTTTATTTCTGTAAGCTGCCCAGACCTACTGTGAGTTGGATGCCCATATACATTCTATCTATACTTCCATCTTCATTAATGAACTCTTAGAACTTTTATAAAAATGTGTGTCCTGTATAATTCATAATGCATTTTCTTTTCTTTTGGGATATATTAAATTCCAGAGGAGAACAAAATAATGCGGAAGGGATTTCTTCTTTAACCCTCTCGTTATCTCGAATATGCTTTTGCCTCGTTGGCAGATCTAAAGGCATTCACTTTAGCTTCTTTCCTTCCTACTTCCCTCCCTCCCTCATTCCATCTCTCCTTCCTTCTCTTTCCTTTCTTCCTCCCTCCCTCCTGCCCTCCCTCCTTTCTTCTCCCTCCTTTCTTCTTTCCTCAACGATAATATACATACATTTCTGATTATTAAACAATCAGAATGTTTAATGAAAATATAACTTATATGTGACTTGTCCTTTTAGTTTTTTTTACTGCATGGCTTCATTCAATTCATCCCACGATTGTCAATGAGGTGACTCCAATAAATGAATTCAAGATTTTTCACTAGATTTGCTTTAAAAATTTACCTTACTGATAAGCCACTTGTGAGCTATTAAGGTCTATATTAAAGCTTATCTGAACTTTGTTGGAGCTTTGAGTCTAATTCAAAAGGCTGAAACTACACTGTGAATGCCAAATCTGCAGCATCAAAGATATTCATTAATGTTAGTGTCACAGTGTTATTCACCTCCTCTAATGCAAAGCTTCAAAATATCAGCTGGTGGCCCCTGCAAAGGTATGGTAATGCGACTTCTTTTTTCCTCTGGTTTCTAAGAAGCTTCACACAACAAATGCAATCCATTTTTTGTATTAATATTCTTAAGCAACACCCTGAAGAATATTGAAAGCAAACAAAAGCTAACAAGTAAAATTATCACTAATGAAATCGAGCTGGTTGAAGAAATGCACCTGCCTTGTCTTCCTTTAAGCTGGTTAAATGTTTTGGGTGAACGCTGAGATGTTGTAGAAAACCACTGCTGAAAAATGATGTGGATCTTGTACAGACAGATGAGTGGGCCAATCTATACCTGCTTGGCCATGTACTCTATCAATTTTACTTTTGTATTTCAAAGCAAAGACCAGAAGAGTTCTGACAAATTGTGCTCTGTCTCCCCTTCCATTCACGATATGCAGCCGACTAGCTCTTCCTAGGTTTGCACCTATCTGCATTCTGATGCATCCACATTTCTTCATCGTTCGTGGCAAAAATTAGAAACATTAACCAATGGAACAACATGCCTCTGGAAAATGTGGGTGCTCCAATACTGGAGGCTTTTAAGAAGAGATTGGACAACATTTGTCTGAAATGGTAGGGGGTTTCCTGCTTGAGCAGGGGGTTGGGCTAGAAGACCTCCAAGGTCCCTTCCAACTCTGTTATTCTGTTAAATACCGATACAGACAAAGGGATCCTTTAATCCAATGGAAACCAACAAGCAAATAAAAGCCCACTTACCAAAGAACAAAGCAACACTTTCCACATTTTCAAAGACTCCATTGAAGAAGGTGATATTATCTGAGGGGAAACATAAACTATTAAAACATAAATAGTTTCTACCTACAAAGATACAGCCTTGGTTATTATTAAGATGGAAGTCCATATGAAGTTTCCCAAATTGTAAGCTGCCCTGGGAATTTGAAAAACCATCCCAGCGGAACAGCAATTCTCTACTGCTGTGAAGAGTTGAGCTGAACCCAAGGAAATATTTACACCATCATTACATGAACATTCTTCAGATCTTAAGAAAAATGAACGTATGGCGTGGAATCTAAAGTGATACTGAAATGGGTTTACAATCTCCATTGGTTTAGGAATTCTGAGCCTCATAGTATCTGACTGAGAGCTCTCTTACAATTATCTCAACATGAGAAATCAGAGATCTCCAGATTCTGCATTCTCCTAATGCAGGCAACTTGCTGCTCTGGAGCCACATGTGGCTCTTTCATCCGCCTGATGTGGCTCTCTGTTACAGTTGGCTCCACGATTGATAGATTAGGACAGGTAGAAGAAAAAGGACGCCACGCTAGGAGGAGACTCTATGGTGGGGGAAACGGACTTCTGGTCAGCTCTAGAATTGAACAGGGGCTTCTGGTTAGGACCTTTGTGGCTCTTGGAGGATTTAAGGTTGCCGACCCCTAAATGCAATATTTCTCAGCCTAGCAACCTTACTGACTGGGGAATTCTGGGAGTTGAAGTCCACACAGCTTAAAGTAGCCAGATTTGAGGAACAGTGTCCTGTTGAAGAGAATATTTGTAGCTGGTGTCCTCTGAGCTGGGGTTGTTTTTCTTGCAGAGGTTTCATTAATCAACTAGATAACATCATCAATGCCCTGAAGATATTACATAGTTGGGTAATGAAACGTCTGCTAGAAAACTACCAATCTCTGAGAGCATCAAGAACTGCACCGTCCTGATATATCTGAAGAACATTAAAAATCACAGCAATTATATCACATCTTACAGCAACAGGAAGCAAATTTCACCTTTACAAGATAAAAAAACCCAAGATCCACCATCTGTCTCTTAATCTCTTAGCCTCAAACACAAACTGTTTATTTTTTTAAAAATGAGTATGTTTGTAGAAGCAGAACAGAATGGAGTTCACAATGTGTCCATACAAACATACACAAATATACTTTTGGTGTCTCCATTTTTGCTAGTTTTATTTTGGTAGTGCAATTTAGGGTGGGAAACTGTTTTGTTTTTGGTGTTGCTCAAATTATTGAGCTATTTTCCAATGTAGCAAAAGTAAATGCAAGAACTATGGGGAAATTCCTTTATTCCATGGACCAGTTTGGCAAAATTGGGAAGTGCAAAAAATGATTTAATATAAAAGAAAGAAGTCAAACATATGGCAGTTTCCCCTCCATTTAATGTGAATTGGTACAATTCTGCACAATCTTACATTTCTGCTGCTAAGAAATCTTTTAATTGTTTTTTCCCCTTTTTTCTTCTATTTTGGTGAAGGTCAACATTAATGCACTTTAAAACTGCTTCAAATCCTGCCTCTGATTTCTTGAAGGGAGTAATTCAATCCTTTTGCTGCCTTCAAGGGAAGATTATAATTTAATGTTTTCATTATCTATTAAAAGCCTTAAAACCTCTCAGAAACAAGAGGTCATGCTTTGAATACAGAAGGGCTCTGAAATTTTTCCTTCTTGCTATTTCTATTTCATAACATCTCAGTAGAGAGCCAACATGGAGAATAGAGTTGTTTCTAAGTTGTTGTTTTTTAATTTGTCAAATGTCTAGGTGGCTCCACTGCAAAACCAACTCTGGATTTAAAAAAAAAATAGCAGCAATGTAGTATTAAAAGAAGAGCAATCACTCAGAGGGAGCAAATTCAAAAAAAATGCTAATCCCATTTTGTGATTTAAAGAAGCTCAACCCAGTGATGGGATTCAAAAAAATTTACTACTGGTTCTGTGGGCGTGGCTTGGTGGGCATGCTGTGGCTTGATGGGCATGGCTTGGTGGACGTGGCAGGAAAAGGATACTGCAAAATCCCCATTCCCTCCCCACCCCACTAACCTGCTTTCCAGCTCCGTTCTTCTGTGCAGGGCAACCAAAGAAGACCCAGACGATCAGCTGGGACTTGGGAGGCAGAGAATAGATGGGGGTGGGGCCAGTCAGAGGTGGGATTTGCCAGTTCTCTTAACTACTCAAAATTTCCTCCTCCAGTTCTCCAGAACTGGTCAGAACCTGCTGAATAGCACCTCTGGCCCAACCCTACACAAATCTAAGATCCAAGGGAAGAGCTCAGTTTTAGGTAAAGACAGTAGGGTGAAGATTATATAAAGTTCTGGGGAAATGCCACCTCCAAAGTTGGACAATGTGGAAACTGCCTAACATACAGCTGAAATCTTCTAGTCTACATTGCTCATTTATTGTAGAAAAGAAATGGGATTATCTTGGAGGAGAACTGCAGAGACTAATAGAAAACCATGAATTCATTCTGGAGAGACAAGTAAAAGAAACTTACAATTGTCCAACAGTGTCACTTTTGGTGTAAACTTTATTGTAAAAGACTTACGTCAGACTTTGGAGTTGGGCCAGGTTGGGAAACAGGACCACCAAAAATGCTAGAAGCCTACTTTATGGGCAGACTCTCAAAACCTATCAGCATTTCCCCATCAGAGTCATGATGATGCAGTCTTGAGTTTCTTTCTCACACGTTTCTGTTTCTCTAAGCTACATGTTCACGTTTTGCTAATGGTCTCAACGGATCTTCTCCCTGGTTTTCTCTACATCTGCCTTTAATCTGGCCCCATCCAGTTATTAACTGGAAATTAGGAGAAAAGGTAGAGAGTTGAGATGCCAGGGCTTTATAACTCCTTGTCTGTCCCACAAAATTGGCTGTCTTAAAAAGTATATCTTACTTAGATTTCTTTCTGCTGTGTGTGGGAGGTCCAAGGAAATGCCTGTAGCTCCTGTCTCTGATCCTTGAGTACCTGCAGAGAGAGAGAGACAGAGACAGAGACAGAGAGACAGAGACAGAGACAGAGACAGAGAGACAGAGACAGAGACACAGAGACACAGAGAGATGCATACAAAGGGGAAATCAAATTAGCTCTTGAGAATTAACATCCCTTAAACCATTCCACACTTTACAAAAGATAAACCTAGATTGACCCCCCGCCCTTCCCACAAGAATGATGAGCATAAAGTTGCAAAAAATTATGGAATCAAGTTTTTATACATATAACTGAAACAGGATTATTGTATTCACAAAGATGGGGAAGATTGGCATTATCCACAATAGAAGAATAGTTGGTGAAGGTGATGGAACTTTCAAAAATGGCTAAACTGTCTTCTTTGGTCAGAGAAAGGATAAAATCTACTGTATATTTATTACTGGCTTGAAAACCCTTATGGGCTTTTTTCATGAAGCAGAAAAAAATGAATGTATGGTTTTGATGATTAGAAAGATCGTAGAAAGAAGAGAGTCATGCTGTAACCACAGAGTAAAAGACAATTTATAATTGTGCTTATAACAGTTGTAAAGATCAGAAGCTACCTACTTCCTTGTATTATTTTTCTTTCTTTTCTATTTTTCTATTATTTTCTTTTTTGCACTTTTAGCTTTCATTTTGATTTCTCTTTCTTAGTTTGTATTAGTTTGTATTCATTTTAAACTTCCCTTTTAACAACCTTAATACAATTATATATACATAGGATATCTAGGAATATCCTCGCTAAGGAGTCAGGACATTCTCAGTTTCTAATACTATATTTATTAATTTAGAAATCACCTGAAATCATCAGTCCTTTTTGCCTAAGATTAGTGTTATTAGTTAACACAATTAGTAACAGTAATAGAGTTGGAAGGGACCTTGGAGGCCATCTAGTCCAACACCCTGCTCATGCAGGAAACCTATACTATTTCTGACAAATGGCTGTCCGGTCTCTTCTTAAAGGCCTCCAGTGATGGAGCACCCACAACTTCTGAAGGGAAGCTGTTCCACTGGTTGATTGTTTACACTGTTAGGAATGTTCTTAGTTCTAGGTTGCGTCTCTCCTTAATACCATTCATTGTTTTTTGTCTTCCCTTCAGGTTCTTTAGTAAATAAGTTGTCCTCCTCTTCCTTTAAGTACTGACAACTATCAACTAGCCGTTCAAGAGTTCTATCATGTCACCCATGGTCTTTCTTGTCACTAGACTAGACATACCCAATTCCTGCAATTGTTCTTCATATGTTATAGATTCTAGGCCCCTAATCATCTTTCTTATTTATACAGATTATTAGATAATAATTCTTCAATAACAGGAGAATTATTCCTATCCACAGAGAAATCCTAACTTGTCAATCAAGGCGTTCCGTGAGCACCACAAGAAAGTCATTATGTGTAACATTCAAAAAATAATTATGCATTTGCTGTTAACCTGATCATGTTATTACTTAATAGTCATACTGAGTAAATACAGGTTATCCAGCCATGGATATCTATATATCTGCAGCCTTTCATTCTAGAAATCTGTTGTAGTAGTAGCAATAGTAGTAGTAGTTGTTGTTATCTAATTGTTATTATTTAAATGTATAAGCCACCTAACTCCCAATTATCACAAAATCAATAACGGACAACTTTATTGTCAAATCAAATCAATGGGATTTAATGTGTAGATCTACTTTTACTATGTTTTACCTAATAATATTAATAGCAATAACAACAACTATTCTGCCTGCAGAAATTCACCCCAAGGAGTTATTTGAGCAAACTGCCTATACCAAATAATATAGAGAAGAGGAAGGAAACAAAACAATGGCATGATTTTTCACTTACCACCATTATGTAATATCATCAATATAGTCATCAATTGAATTATCAGCATTATTTTTCAGGAAGCTTGCCTGGTGGATTAAATACAATGTTTATATACATGTTTTCTTTGACAATAAAGTATGGTTTGCCCATGATATAGCATCAAATTACAATACTTGTGCTTTGTGTATAACCACATGGTAATTACCAAAGCAGATGTCTATGGAGACTCTCAATCATCCAGGTCACGGTTGTCCCAGAAATGCTTTTCCAGAAGGCAACTGGGCTTTCTTTTTGCTGTTTTTCTCGAAGACATTTCACTTCTCATCCATTCTGTCTTAGAACTGAAGAAGCTTCTTGGATGAGAAGTGAAATGTCTTCAAGAAAGTTCCATTGCCTTTCAAAAAGCACCTTCAAAAAGAGTACCGAAGCATATGTTATTCTAAAACATCTCCCAGAATCAGATTCCATCCAGATGTGCTAGATGTTATGTCCTATAATCCTAAAGGAGCAAACCTCGTCCTATCAGGTTATGAGAACTGAAGTCTAACATATTTAGGTTGAGTTGAATGTTTGAGCTGCTTATTGCTAGTGCCAGCTCACACCAAGAAGGTCTAAAATATTTGGTGGTTTCCCAACTGAGAAGAGGACAAGTTTGTTCAAGAGAGAATCTTGGTGGAGTTTCGGAACTAGGCAGCTGTGCAGAGAAAGAGAAAACAGATGGTTCTCCCTTTCTCTGGATAGAATTTCAGATTGTTCAGTGAACTGATGAATAACTTCAAGAAAGGCAAACTGAGAGAGTGCGGTGTGAGAATGTTTTTTGCATCATGTAAAATTCATTTGTTGAGTTCTTTGCACAAATTTAGCTTTTAGAAGGAAGGGAAAGAAAAATTGCTCATTTGAGTTGAGATGAAATATCATATATTCGGGTGGTTGCAAAAGTAGAATTGTGTAGTAGAGTTGCAAAAAGTGTCACATGGAGTTCAACACTTAAGGCAAAACATTTGGGGCAATATCCATTTTGAATAGACACATTTGTCTGCTATATAAAAAATTTAATCCCCAAAAGTGATTTTTTTTAGTTGCTTATATATAAAATTTCTACACTGTCCATTTTACTTAAATAACTTTGGGCGGTTTACAAACTACATCATAAAATAATATAAAACATGACTAAAAAGCAAAGTTAAAATGATCTAAAAACAAGGTTAAAATTTACAAGTTCAAAGTGAAAAAATCCCAAAGGTAAAAAGGGTTTGCCCACAATCTGCCTAAATTCATCCCATATAAAACAAGATCTTGTACAAGTATCGTTGTACAGATTTCTACACATTTTGGATACTCAGTGGATTTTGCATCCCTCTAACCAAGATGTGGAATGGCTGTTTAAGGTTGGTCAGTACTGCTACTATGTAGAGATTGCAAGACAGTTCTGAGATTAAATGGGCAAACCTTACCTATGACCAAGTATAGAGAGGAAAAAGTCCCTTGTTTTCTAAACCAGTCTCTGACCCACCATACTTGACCAAATCAGAACTTGTCCCCTATGCAACCTTGATTTTGTCACCACTCTTAATAATCTACCCCACTGGCACCAAAGGAAGTTCTGCAGCCTTTTGTAGATGAGTTGTAACCCAATCCTCTGTCAAGGACCTTGGAGTTCTCATCTCTAATGATCTAAGAGCTAGAGCCCACTGTAACTACATAGCCAAAAAGTCATTAAGAGTTCTTAACCTAATCCTATGTAGCTTTTTCTCTGGTAATATCACACTACTAACTAGGGCATTCGCTAGACCAATGCTCGAATACAGTTCATTAGTCGGGAACCCGCATTATGTATCTGATATTAAAACAGTTGAGAAAGTCCAGAAATATTTCACAAGAAGAGTTTTCCACTCCTCTATTCATTGCAGAATATCTTATGCCACCAGACTCGAAATTCTAGACCTAGAAAACCTAGAACTACGCCACCTTCAATCCGATCTAAATATAGTATATAAAATTATACATTGCAATGTCCTACCTGTCAATGAATACTTCAGCTTCAACCATAACAATACAAGAGCACATAATAGATACAAACTCAAGGTAAACCACACCAAACTTGATTGCAGGAAATATGACTTCAGCAACAGAGTGATCAATGTCTGGAATACTCTACCTGACTATGTGGATTCTTCCCCAAACCCCCAAAATTTTAACCTTAGACTTTCTACTATTGACCTCACCCCTTCCCTAAGAGGTCTGTAGGAGGCGTGCATAAGCGCACCAACGTGCCTACTACCCCTGTCCTATTGTTTCTTTTTTTATTTTTCTTATATGTATCCGTATCATGTATCCATATACCTGTTATCTTACAATTGCTTGACCTCACACTTGATTGCCTATATATATATATATATATACATACACACACACACACACACACACACACACACTTAAATAGATGATAGATAGACTACTTTTTAGCTATAGTAAGTTACCCATACTTTGTACACACTGCACGGATCTTATCATTGTATCTTTATTCTGATATGCACTAATTAATTTCTGACTAGATTGTAAATATCTACAGGATGACATGCTTCCAGCTGAGCATGAGGTGGTGCCAGGTAGATGCTTACAATCCTAACTCAACCTCTGAGCTTGCAAACCAATGCTCAATGTGTGTTTACCTGGGAAACAAAACTCTTTGGATAACTGGACTTATTCTGGTATTATAGAATAGTGCCAGATCTGCAAAAATCCAACCCATCACAAGGTGGCAACAAAGCGATTCAAAAATTCTAACTCTTTGCCACCATCTAGTGGTTGTGGAGATTTTTTTTGCCAGCCCCGGCCAGTATGCTGGTGGCTATTTCCTTGGGCTTCCATTTGTCCTGAAGTTGACTTCCAGGTTCACAAGTCTCGGCTCAGAGAAGCAGCTTAATAATTCACTCACTGTCAATTCGAAAACCCTTCTACCCTAAAACATGGGAAGCATTGCTTACCTTGAAGGATATTTCTCAGAGGGAGGTAAAAGGAAGAACCTGACCCTAAGGAGGTTAGGCTTTAGTGATTTATACCTTTTTGGCTCTGCCCTTCCTTTATCACGTGGCTACTTTCTTCATCAACCCAAACTCAACCTTTCTCAATGGTCCCTTTCATTAAAATTTCGGCAGGTTGCAATTCTTAGAGCAGCAAGAGTGAACATTATAGATCACTTATGTACTTAAGGTTATATTCAGTCGGGGGGGGGGTTTCTCCCCCCACTCCTGAAAGCTACCCTAATACAGGGCTTGTTGTCATGAAACAATGCTCCCTTTGTTATCCCTTTCCTGCTAAGTCAGATGACAGCAGTGCGCAAGAACTTAATAAACAGCTTCATTCATGGTTGAGGGACAGGTGAAAATGTAGACGATAGGGCAGACCCCCCAAATATCTGAGTGCTGAAAAAGCTTGGGAGGAGGGAGGACTTAAACAAACCATCGAAAGGGTCTTCTGTAGAATTATGGAATCACAGGCCTGAGGAGTTTTGGAAGGGGCCACAAAGATCATTTAGACTAACTCTTTGCCGAAAAACCAATGAAACGATTCTCGTGAAGTCACTGTCTAGCTTCTTCTCTCCGCAGATGGAGGACCCACAATCTTCATAGGTCAATTATTCCACTGTAGTAGTGGCAGAGGTGGGTATTCAGCAGATTCTGACCAGTTCTGGGGAACCGGTAGCGGAAATTTTGAGTAGTTCAAAGAACCAGCAAATACCATCTCTGACTGGCCCTGCCCCCATCTATTCTCCGCCTCCCAAGTCCCAGCTGATTGGCTGGGTCTTCTTTGGTTGCCCTGCACAGGAGAACGGAGCTGGAAAGCAGGTTAGTGGGGTGGGGAGGGAATGGGGATTTTGCAGTATCCTTCTCATGCCATGCCCACCAAACCACGTCCACAGAACCGGTAGTAAAACCATTTTGAATTGCACCATTGGATACTGAGTCTTACTACTACTAAGATTTTTTTTTCCTGAAAGGCAGGCAAGAGAAGGACAGGAGCCCACAAGTTGTAGCCAGGTCGTTCTCAGGTTATGACCTTAATAGAACCTGCCCATAATGGTTGTGAAATGGGTCAGTCATGTGACTGGCCTGATTTTATGTCATTTTTTGGGGTGGCAGCCATTAAACAATGGCTTAAATGATTGTTTAAGCGAGACTGTTGTTTGCTATGGCATGTTTTGCCAAAATATTGGAAGCAACTCCTTGCTTTTGGTAAAAAAAAAAAAAAAAAGTATTGTAAAACACAGTCACAGGGCCCCAGGATGCTGCAAAGAGCCTTAAATGTGGCCGTGTTACCGAGTGACTGAAGTGCTGTCATTAGTTTTGGATCGGGATCATACGATAAGTCCCTTTTTCTTATTGCTGAGCGACCAGTCGTAAGTTAGGGACTAGCTGTGGCAGTGGTGGGATTCAAAAAAATTTTTACTACCGGTTCTGTGGGCTTGGCTTGGTGAGCGTAGGAGGGGAAGGATACTGCAAAATCCCCATTCCCTCCCCACCCCACTAGCCTGCTTTCCAGCTCCATTCTCCTGTGTAGGGCAACAAAAGACAACCCAGCTGGTCAGCTGGGACTCAGGAGCAGAGAATAGAGGGGGATGTCCAGTACCGGTTCTCCAGAACCGGTCAGAACCTGCTGAATACCATCTCTGACCTGTGGATGCATGGAAGTGTACTCAAACGCATGGACATGTATACACTAATATTGAACTCCTGCAAAGTTTGTGTAGAGACCTGAGGATCCCTTAATTTTTGCAGAACAGAAAATATTTTAGAGGAGGGAAAGTTTATAATGTGAGGAAGGATATTCAAAAGACAGCCCACAAGGTTTGGGTCTTTGGAAGAGAAAGAATATTTTCTTAGCAAAAAGACCTGGGGAATTCTGAGAGTTGAAGTTCATCCATCCTAAAATTGTCAAGGTTTGTTTCTCAGAACAAGGTAAATTGTTCTGAGGTAAATGCTTCTACAAACTGTTCCATCAAAAAAACAATTCCCTGTGGTTTTTTTCCCCTTCTAAATTATTTCTAGTAGGCATAATAGAAAAGAAATTGCTTCCCAAAAACTTTCAAAGGAGAAGACAATGCAAGTGAAAAACAGGTGGTCCTCGACTTACGACCACAATTTGAACCCAAAATTTCCATTGCTAATTGAGACATTTGTGAAATGAATTTTTGCTTCATTTTACGACCTTTCTTGCCACCATTGTTAAGTGAATCATCACAATTGTTCAGTTAATGACATGGTTGTTAAGTGCATCTTGACTTTGCTTTTCAGAAGGTCACAAAAGAGGCTCACGTGACCCTGGGACACTGCAACCGTCATAAATACGAGTCAGTTGCCAAGCATATGAATATTGATCACATGACCCTGGGGATGTAGCAACGGTCGTAAGTGTGAAAAACGGTCATAAACTTGCTTTTTTTAGTGCCGTAACTTTGAACGGTCACTAAACAAACTGTTGTAAGCTTAGGACTACCTCTGAAACCCTATAAAGTGCAGGATTTCCCTCTCACTTTAGTTATGAAAAGACCAAAAGGTGCATCCAAGCATCCCATCTTTCAGGATGAAAATTCTTCTGGCGAGCTCTTACAGTCAACCACTTCAATCTGTGCTGTAAATCTATAAAGATGGAATGTCAAACTGGTTTACTCATCAATAAGAGAGAACCTTAAATTGAGCTTTGACATCCCAAAGTAACACAAAATATAAGTAAATAAACAAACAGCAGCAATCTTATCACATATTTCTTGTTTAAGTGAAGACAGAACTACGGTGTAATTCTTACATTTTTAATTTCAAATTTGGCTCCCTGTTGTTTCAAACAATTAAGGGTCCAGCAATTTACATTCACTAACAAGCTAGAGAACATTCTTTAGGAAATTTAACAATAATTATTATAGCTTTTCATTTCAGGTAAGTTTCTTCTTGTGAATGTCACCTTCTATTCATTACTAACTTTGTTTAATCAGTGTGCAAGCAAGAAGATCCTGCCATTCTAGGAAAATCTTCTTTTTCCTTTTCTGTTAGGGGTGTGTGTGTGTGTGTGTGTGTGTGTGTGTGTATGTGTGTGTTCTCACACTGGATGATGGAATAAAGCTGTAGACTTCTTCCATGTTGCCTTGTTCTCAACAATTCCTCTTGGAGATCAGATGGATTTACAAATATATTTAAGGCACTTCTGTTTCAATGCTAGGGGGGGAAAAGAGAAAGGACAATTCAATGCAGATGAAGAAATTCATACTTAGACAGAAGAGAATATTTATTGTTCAGGGTTAAACCAAGTACCTTGGTGCTGACTGAGCTTGGTTGTTTTCTTGTAGGTGTTTCATTACCCAACTAGGTAACATCATCAGTGTTAGAAGGGAGTGGGGTTTGCTCTGTTTATATAAAGTTTGCCTTATCAACATTGATGGGAGTGTTCTTGAGTAGTGATTAGGATGCAGTTTATTATTGGATGGTTTGTTTATTGAAAACTCCTTAATTGCAGCAGACATGGACAAACCTAATCATAATGTCAAAGCGGAAACTGAGCATTCTAGACCAGCTTAGGTACAAAAATGCTAGAGAATTTCTGGAAGCCTCAGACAAATCAGCGATCAGCAGGCATGTAGAGATAAATAACAGCTACATACCATTCAAAAAAGGCAATAAAACCATCTAAAAAGGAAACAAAAGACCAAAACACCAGCAGTCAACACTCAGATAAGTAGAGATTAAAACCAGGATTAATTCCAGAAAAACTATCAAGCAGTAAACAATACCCCAATCAAGGAAATGTCTATTCAGACAATCAAACAATAAATAACAATCTAATTAAGGAACCCATCAAAAGCATTCCCACCAACACTGACAGAGCAAGTCACTGGTAGATAAACAGAGAACAAATTCCCCTCCCTTCTAACACTGGTGATATTACCTTGTTGGGTAATGAAATGTCTGCAAACAAAACAAGCTGAAAGAGTGCCAAGAACTCCACAGACTTCATGAACCTTCATACTTCCACAAATGAAGCTTTAATATGAAGCTTCATTATGAATCCTACCATACCTGGCTCTATGGTGGCTCTCCACCTTCTCCCTCTACAAAATGACTTCAGTGACTTGAACATGTCAAAAGTGCAGTCAAGGGGTCAAGTTACTCACAAACAATCATCGGGAAAATTAAGATTTTTCATCTTCCCATTTTCCCATTCTTCTGCCAAAACTTGGTGGTGGAAAGTTGAAAAATTAAAGAAAAGTTTGAGATAGTTTATTAACAGGTAGATTTCTTAAGAGGACATACTTAAGGGGATACACTTAAGAGGACATAGTTGCAATGGGCATTGAGTAAAATCCCACAGAAATAAACCAGATGGGATGTCTACTTACTCTTAGAATAAGTCGATCTCTTGACCTTTTCACAAATAAATGCTGCATTTTTAAAGAACCATGGATAGTTTTGAATGCAGTACCTAAAATGTAAACCAATATCAATAGATGAACAGGATATATTTTGAATCGTGTATTCATGGATTGAAATTCTCAGCTGATGTCTGAAATTAAAGTAGCAAACATACTTGATTTCCAAAAATTGACTTCCAAAACATTGTTTTCAATAAGAAATACAAAATCTTAAGGACTTCTCCAAGTCAATTCTTATTCCAGGGCTACTGAAACTACAGCTTCAATGCTTCCTTTGCTTTTAACGCACTAACAGATTTTATTGGAACAGAAGTTCATTTTATTTTTCCTGTATTCTCTCTGAGGCCTTGTTATTTCTCCTATTCTATTGCTTCTGAGATGAAAACCTATATGGTAATTCCTTGCTAAGGTCACAATAAATTTATTGGGGGATAAATTCAGAAACAAGGAACACTGGATTTAGAAACTTAGCTGTTTTGCACTCCCCCCCACCAAAAAAAACCTTAAAAATCCAAGAAGAAAATAACCAATGAGATTAATCTTACAGATCCCTGCAACAAAATTTAGTTATATTTCTACCAGGCTAAAATTCAGCTGTGTATTCAAATGGGAAATAAGGAGAATAGAGAACAACCATCAACTCCTGCATCTCCTCTATGAAATTCTCTCACACAAGAACCAAGGTGTCTGACTGTTGCACACAGAATATGGCTGACAAAAGACATATTAGGTAGGGAAGAACAAGGTATCTATTATCACATGTTGTTTGAATATATGGGAAGCAGAATTGTTCATTGTTGTGCATTCCCAGATATTCATATCTTGATATCCTGTTTACTTCTTTGCAGAGTCATAGCGTTCTGTTCCTGATAGTATGGGTGGTGGATTGGACTGGGCTATCTTCATATATTTGATGGTTTTATTATTAATTCTTACTGGTTTTACTTGTGCAACATTGTAATCCACACTGAATTGGGGTGGTATATTAACATCTGTAAAACCAAGTAAATGGATGAATAAATAGATCCAAGAAATGGTCTGATCCTCCTGGTTCTCTCAAGGTGAGGAAGCTTGATTTCTACTTATTAAATATGAATCACGTTTGTTCTATTACTGCCCATTCCTTAAATCTGATGAGATCCCTTTTAAGGAGGCCATTGTATTAAACCCATAAAATTAAATCTAAAGTAGCCAAATTCAACTGATGTCCTGTTCCCTTTCCTCACATTTCTAGACCCAGAAATCAGGTGCAGAAATATCTAATGATTTGTCTATAATTTTTTTTATGTAAACTCAAGGAAACATTCTTCCCTCATATGTGCTGAGCCTGTTTGAGATAATTGGGGTTCACCAGAAGGATTAATTTTCCTCTGAAGAACCATCTTTGGTGTCATTTGATGACTTCTGGTATCTTCATCTATCACCCGCTCATTATTGAAGTGACATGTCTGCCTCATTGGTCTAGTTTGGAACGCCATGGATGGGGAACTCTAGAAGATGCTAGAAGTTTCCTGATGCTTGAGGGTGAGAACATGCAAGAGAAGGTGTTGTCCAATGGTGATCACCAAAGCTAGCTGCTGGTAAAGGACACACATTGTAGCAATCTCACCTAAGTTTCATAAGAAAAGATGGGGAAGTAGAGTTTAGGAGAGACTATAAAGATCCAGAAACCAACATGGGGGATTGGCTTTCTTCTGTAAAACATGGACCTCTCTTGCTTCAAGCATCAGCTTGGAAGGAGAGCATCACTCAACTCTTCACCAAAACAAAGCTCCCTTGTGAGAAGCTACACAACTTGTAATATCTAGATTCCTAACTACGAACGTACATGAAACCATTTTTAGATTTACCTCATAGTGTGATCCCTTGAGTAACTCCGGTCTCTGGTACAGAAGCACCGTTGATAAAACTTGCACAACTCCATCACGCAAGGATTCAGCTTTTGAACCATGAGGGGTGACACAGTCACAAAATTGCCTTTTTTGATGACCTGTGTGCATTCTAGGGAAAAAAAGTATGTAATCCCAAAATAATCCATGGGATTGACATTTTACTACTGTGTAATAAAACATTTGTTGGCACACCTGAGTACTTTTATTTAAAGAAAGAATGTGTTTTTGCACAGAGAAAATCAACGTTCTAGAGTTTTGTTTTAAATTGCCAACACCACACCACACAACCATCCTGGGAACTCAACTTTTTACATAACATCTAAGTGGAGATTTCTGCATTAAAGAAATATGATTTCATCATTAATTCCAAATAATGTTAAATATTTTTTTAAAAAAAGTCATTTAAAATAGTGGTTGTTCTTTAGGAGCCTTTCCTCATACACTTAGTTCAACACCCTTTCCTCGTAAGTTTCATAAATCAATAAGTCCCCTTAAACAACCTGAGGTTTCCTCCCAAATTAACATCTATGGAGATTCTCAGTTCCCATTTGCATTATTCAGGTGTCTCTGAGGGCACAAATAAACCCCCTCAAGTGGCCTCAATGACTCTCAGAAAGAGGGCTAATGATCAGACGATATAAATCCTTCCATTCTCCATCATTCACTCAGAACTGAGGAAGCCTTCTTTGATGAGAAGTAAAACATCTTCAAGAAAAAAAACAGAGAAAGTCCAGTTGCCTTTTGGAAAAGCACCTTTGGAACTCCCAAATTAACGTACCACAGATGACAACCCAAATTCTCATCAGTGTTGTAAGCTAACTGATCTTTCTCCAAGAAATCGTTTCTTGATGATTGATCCCTTTGGTAACCCAAATAATATCTCCTTACACTTAGGAGGAACTGAACCTTCCTCCAATCTCAAACTTTCTCCCTCTCTGCTCTTGGAAGTTGAGCCTTATCAAAAGTCAACTTTTTTCTCTCTCTCTTGAGCTGGGAGATTGGATTCCCTCAGGAATCATGCTTAGCATTCTTCATGACTTTGAACCAGTTACATGATCAGAGAGAGGTAGGGAAGTGTCCCCACCTCCACCCCCAAGTAATGAAGAGCTGACAACATATGCCTGAGCTGTCAGAAGGAGCCATGAAATTAATAGAAAATGGCATCTAATTACAGCAGAAGAGGGAAACCAGATTCAGGATAAAGAATCACATATAATACTTGACAAGCTGTCAGGGGAAGGGGCTAGAAGGATCTCAGATCTATCAATGGTGTGACCTTGGTTGGGTCATCACTCCCTGGATGAACTTACCTCAGAGTTGTTGCAAAATTTAAACGGGAAGCGAACTGAGCTCTGAGGAGTAAATCAGAAACTGAACCTCTTCCTTGTTTTAATTTAAACTGAGCAATGTACCAAAGTGAGCATTGGAAATCATCTTTTTGAATCCAAACTCTACAGGCAGGAAGCTAAACCCAAAATTTAGGTTTTTAGTCACTTCTTGCCTTGAAGCAAACAGATATCTACAACTTCTACTTTCGCCTCTTGCAAATGACCTATTTAAAACATTCAATAACACCAGCAATTTATTTTTATTTAAAAAAACAAAAACAAATACAATTTGCCTTTGCAGGTAGTCCTCAACTTACAACCGTTTGTTTAATGACTGTTCAAAGTTGCAATGGCACTGAAAAAAGTGACTTATGACCATTTTTTACACTTATGACCGTTGCAGTGTCCTAATGATCGTGGGAACAAAATCCAGGCACTTGGCAATTGGTTCATACTTATGACAGTTTAGTTTAGTTTACTTTATTGTCATTGCACCTCGTACAACAAAATTAGATACCATCTTCAGTGTACATTATGACTATGAAAATAAACACAAACACACGTCCTTCATAATCTATACCTTGAATTGAAAACCCCTGATATTGCATTCATATTGTACTATACAGTAGAATTCAGTAGAGTTACTGCCCTGGGATAGAAGCTGTTTTTCAGCCTATTTGTCCTTGTTTTTATTATCCTGTACTGTAATAGTTCAAAAAAAGGGGATGCCCAGGATGAGATGGATCTTTGAGAATGTTTTGAACTTTCTTAAGGCAGCGGGAGCTATAAAGCTCTTCCAAAGAGGGGAGAGGGCAACCAATTATCTTCTGGGCAAAGAGGTTAACCCTCTGGAGTGCTTTCCTATCTGCCCCTGTGCAATTGGCCAACCATACAGAGGTGCAGTAAGTGAAGATACTCTCTATGAAGCAGCGGTAGAAGGTCACCAGAGTTTTCCATTCAGTTGTTGTTTCCTGAAAAGACTCAGATAGTATAATCTCTGCTGGGCCCTTTTGACCAGGGCTGCAATGTGAGCACCCCAAGTCAGGTCCTCTTTTAGGGTAACACCCAGAAACTTAAAACTGGCCACTTGCTCTCCTCAGTCTCCATTGATAAGCAAGGGCTGGATGTCTGATCTGTTGCTTGTATCCTTACGATTTATATTGACTGTTTCCTAGTATGATTCGATTGTTGATTGTGCCCTATGACTATCATTAAGTGTTGTATGTTATGATTCTTGATTCTTAGCGAATGTACCTTTTCTTTATGTATACTGAGAGTATTTACACCAAGACAAATTCCTTGTGTGTCCAATCACACTTGGCCAATAAAGAATGCTATTCTATTCTTCTATAGTCCACTATAAGCTCCTTGGTCTTATTGGTGTTGAGGGTCTTGGGGTCACATGATCACCTTTTGTGACCCTCGGACAAGTGAAGTCAATGAGAAGCCAGATTCATGTAACAACTGGGTGACTAACTTAAGAACTGCACCGGCTGGTTCATTTAAAAGCGGTGGCAAGCAAGGTTGCGAAATGGGACAAAACTCACTTAACAGCTGTAACGTTTAGCAACTGAAATTTTGGGCTCAATTGTGGTCGTACATTGAGGACTATCTGTAGTTGTTACCATACATGTGACATACATTCAGAAGAGACCACGAAGGCCAGTCATTCCTGAAATGATGACAAAAACACAGATTTCCTTGGTTTTAATATGTTGAGTATAATATTATGAATGTAAAGTCCTTTGTGTTGGACTGTTATCTTTTCAAGATGGGATTTGGATTCAATCACAGTAAAAGAACTGAAGCTTATAAAGTCTTTGGGGGAAAAGGAAAAAAATATCTCATGGGACCTTCAACATCTCCAGAAGTTATGAATGCTCCAACACTGGAAGTTTTTTAAAAGATGTTGGATAACCATTTGTCTGAAGTGGTGTAGGGTTTTCTGCCTCAGCAGGGGGTTGGACTAGAAGACCTCCAAGGTCCCTTCCAACGCTGTTATTCTGTTCTATTCTGTTCTGTTCTATTCTATTCTATTCTATTCTGTTCTGTTCTGTTCTACTCTACTCTACTCTACTCTACTCTACTCTACTCTACTCTACTCTACTCTACTCTACTCTACTCCATTCCATTCCTTTCCTTTCTATTCCATTCTATGCCATTCTATTATATCTCTTCAAGAATCTTCGCTGGTGAAAGAAAGAAATAGACAGCTTTATCCTGAAGGTGAGGAGATGCCTGGCTCCCAAAACCACTCCATTTTCTGTCACATTCTTGAACTGAAGCCAGGCAGAAAAAATAATAATATATCATTTCCTCATACTTCAGGGGTGAGATGGTCAGGTATGGCTGGGCCACTTCTAGGGACAATGGCCTTATTCTTTTTCCAACTCTCCATCCCTCATCGCCTGCTTAAAATTAAAAAGTCATGTGCCAGCAATGAGCAAGTTATATGCTTCAGTGGAAGAAAGCCAAAACGAACAAGGAAATTGTTGAGAAGAAAATGTATACCTACTACCAAGTCCAAGCACTAAAAGAAGACTTCTCAATTCTTGCTTTCATCTCCAATATTTGATCAATCTTTTGGTCCTGGTGGAAGTCTCAGAGAAACACCTTCAAAAGCCAGAAATAGAAACTCCCTCTGGTTTTCTGTTATTCCCTGACCATCTCCATGGGGTCAACCCACTAAGACCATTTCCTTATAGTTGGCCTTTGGGGTTGAGGCTACTTTTTCTACTGTGCTGTTCATTCCTGCATGTATGTCTTCATTTTTACTTTTAAACAATGCTGTTATTTTAAGCAGTATCTCCCCTTAATCAGTAGATCTACTTAATTTTCCAAGTCAAGAGCAGGCAACCCGATGCTCTCTATACGGCTAGGACGACAACTCCCACAATTCTTTGTTGACAGCAGCTGACCATTTCAGAGATCAAGACACTACTGCATATCAGATTGAGATTAGAGGAAACAGATTTGATAGATGGTTTGAAAAACTTCCTGGCTTTAACGGCAATTCAATAGTGAAGCCAATGAGCCAAAGAGTTGTTGGACACCATTCAATGGGTGTGTTGACATCAACACATCTATTGAAAGCATCAGAGATGCTTTCATTTGGATCCTTGCACTAAACAAAGAGTTGGATTCAATGACCTCAACGGTGTCTTCAATTCTGGGATTGTAACATTGTGTAAAATTCCAGATTTGGCAGAAGGAGGGCAACAATTCATTTCTGTCTCCCATCTTCGGACTTTTATTTTTCTACAATGATGGCTGTCCTTACTTCTATCAAAGGTTGGACTTCCAGAACAGTGGCCTCAGACCCACAGCAGGCATGGGATGGTCATTAATGAAAGAGGCAGGATTGGCATGTTGGTATTCACCTGAATTTTTGAGGAGCTCCAGAGGTCACAAGAAAGGGGCTGTGGGCAGGTTGAAAGTCAAGGAATACAAGATGTTTATTGAGCTTGAAAGCAAATAGCAAGACAATGTGGCAGAATTCGCCTAACGGCTCCAGTTGTTATTTCTACTCCTATCAAGGCAGGCCATACATTCTACTCCACAAGCTAGTTATCCACAGAAATGATCTATAAATCATGTCATTGACTCTATAAAATCATGCAACAATCCAATCATGGAATAAGAGGTACAGTCCAGTCAAATTAAACCTTGCAATACAGTAGAATCTTCGGTTCGAAAATCCTTGTTCAAAACCCTTAAGCTTGGCAGAGCTAATTTTTAGGGAATTTGAATATTACTGCAACCTTAATAGTACTAATTCACT